GCCCCCCCCCAACCCCAAACCCCAAACCCCAAACCCTAAACCCTAAACCCTAAACCCTAAACCCTACTTCTGCTGCCAGCGAAGCCTCTATGTCCCGCACTCTGCGGTGACAAGCCACTCCGCGAGTCACCAAAAACTGTTTGTCCGGAGGCAGCCAACTGTTGATGCGCTTCCCCACCGCGGGCTCCCTGGTGTACAGACACCCCACGCCCCACACGCTGCTGCTGCAGCAGCAGCAGCAGCAGCAGCAGCAGCGGCAGCAGCAGCAGCAGCGGCAGCAGCAGCAGCAGCAGCGGGGAAGCGGCGGCGGCAGCGGAGAAGGCGCGGCAGCAGCGAAGGATAAAGCAGCGCGTCCTAAACCCTAGTAAACCCTAGCAAACCCTAGCAAACCCTCATAAACCCTAATGAACACTCCTAAACCCTAGTAAACCCTAGTAAACCCTAGCAAACCCTAATAAACCCTAATAAACCCTAATATGCTGTTACCAACCCTAGTAAACCCTAATAAACCCTGGTAAACCCTAAGGAAGTTTAGTAAACCCTCGCAAACCCCAATAAAACCCCTAAACCCTCATAAACGCTAATAAGCCCCCCAAACCCCCATAAACCCCCCAAAACCCCATAAACCCTAATAAACCCCCACAAACCCCCGCAAACCCTAACAAACCCCTGTAAACCCTAATAAACCCCCGTAAACCCTAATAAACCTCCATAAACCCCCATAAACCCGCATAAACCCCCATAAACCCTAATACACCCCCCTAAACCCCTGTAAACCCTCGTAAACCCCCGCAAACCCTCGAAAACCCCCGTAAACCCTAATAGACCCCCGTAAACCCTAATAGACCCCCGTAAACCCCCTTAAACCCTAATAAACCCCCGTACACTGCCGTAAACCCTAGTAAACCCCCGTAAACGCTAATAAACCCTCGCAAACCCCCGCAAACCCTAATAAACGCCCATAAACCACTATAAACCCCCGCGAACCCCCGTAAACCCTAACGCCGCCCCCAAACCCGCGCAAACCCTCGCGAACCCCCCAAACCCTCGCAAACCCCCAAACCCTCGCAAACCCCCCAACCCTCGCAAACCCCCAAACCCTAACCACTGCCAAGTGGGGAACTTGAAGACAAGAAGGTCTCCAGCATCGACAAACTCCTGAGGAGTCATAGTCCCCTTTTCAATAAACTGAGAAGTTTGCGGAGCAGCAGAAAACCTGGCGAGGAAGCTGCGGCCGGCGTCGGCGAGGCGGTGCTGCACGCTGCTGCCCGTGGGGCCCACGAGGGGCGGCACTGCTGCTGCTGCTGCTGCTGCTGCTGCTGCAGCAGCAGCGGCTGCGGCGCCGCGACCGCCAACTGCTGCTGCGGGCGACGCCGGGGAACCTCCGCCTGCTGCAGCAGCAGCAGCAGCAGCTGCTGCTGCTGCTGCTGCGCTGCCCCCGGCCTTCGGGCGCCCCCCAGTCATTAACAGGACCCGAGAAAACACACGCACAGCAATCTGACACACACGCACACAAACCCTAAACCCTAAACCCTAAACCCTAAACCCTAAACCCTAAACCCTAAACCCTAACGTGCTTGAGGTGCAGTACATGATGTGCTGGGGAGGGGAAAGAGAAAAGGAGAAAAGGCAACTGTGAGGAATGGGACTCCAAGTATGTAGCAGCGGCAGCAGCAGCAGCAGCAGCAGCAGCAGCAGCAGCAATAGCAGCAGCGACAGCAGCAGCAGCGACAGCAGCAGCAACAGCGACAGAAGCAGCAGAAATGGATGCGAAATAGAAACGGGAAAAGAAACAGCAACGTCAGCAGCAGCATTCGTAACAATAGCAGCAGCAGCAGGAGCAGCAGCAGCAGCAGGAGCAGCAGCAGGTGCACCAGCAGAACCAGCAGCAGGATCAGAAGCCACAATAGGACATAATGAGCAGCAGCAACAGCAGCACTGGAAGGGACAGCAGCAGCAGCAGCAACAGAATCAACAGCAGCAACAAAAGCAACAACAGCAGCAGCTCCACCCTTCAAACAGCACAAAAATCAGCAAGAATACGGGCAACAGCAGCAGCATCTGCAGCAGCAGCAGCACTGCAGAAGCAGCAACAGCAGCAGCAGCAGCAACAGCAGGTACAGCAGCAGCAGCAGCACTGTGAACACATCAATACACCTGCGATTCTCATATGCTGCTAGACAACAGCAGCAACAGCTGCAGCAGCCGCACACATAGCAGCAGCAAGAGCAGCAACAAGAGAAACAGCAGAAGCAGCAGCAGCAGCAGCAGCAGCAGCAGCAACGCAGCAGCGGAAGCAGCAGCAGCAGCAGCAAAAGCAGCAGAAGCAACACCAGCAGCAGCACGTTTTATGTACAAGAAATGGTTTTGGAGGCGCAGCGGGAAGGGAAGAAGAACTCACTGCTGCAATCGAGGTGTACAGACACCCGGGCCTCGCTGCGCGGCTCCCGACTGTCTTCCGAGGTCTGGAGAAGAATAAAAAAAGAAATGAAAATGAAAAGCAAAATAAAAGAAATGAAAAGGAGAAAAAGCAGAGTAGTGACACTCGAAGAAGCGCAGCAGCAGAGATGGCTGGACAGCTGGTTGGCTGCGGCGCGGCTGGCGGCGCCGGGCGGAGGAAAAGAAAGAAAAAAGAAACTGAGGCGAATAAAATGCAAATAATATTAATTGGGATTAATCGAAAAGAAAAATAAAGAAAAATAAAACAGACAAACACTCAAACGAGCAGCTGCTGCTGCCGGAAACCGAGTTGAGTAGGTGTCTGTACACCTGACGCTCCAGGCCGAAGACGGCGCCCGCCAGGCCGCCCTTGTTGCCTCACAAAAACATTTTTTTACATTTTTTTTGAATTATAATTCCATTTTAATCTTTTTATTTGTTTCGAAGCCCCCGAAATTCAATGCAGCAGCCCAGAAGACCGCCAGCGCCTCTGCCACCACTCCCGGGGCCCCGGCAGCCGCGGCGGGGCTACCGAGCCGTTTCCGGGTGTCTGTCCACCCAAATTCGAAATTAAAAACAATTTTATAAATCAAAAACCAAAACATATTTCAAATTCAATTTCAAATTCCATTCGCAGCACCCACTCGCCTCTTCGCCCCGCCAGCAGCTGCCGAGACGCCCTGTGTCGCTGCAGCAGCAGCGGCAGCAGCAGCAGCAGCAGCAGCAGAAGCAGCAAACGCAGCAGCAGCAGCGCAGCCAGTGCAGGCTTGAGGTGTACGTACAGCCCATTTAAAACAGCCAGAGACACCCTGGCTTTTGCTGCTGCTAAAAGAGGCCTTTGGGGCTTTGAGGGGCCCACTGAGGTGTACGTACACCTGGTGTGCAAAGCCCTAGACTGAAAGCCTTCTAAACCCTAAACCCTAAACACCACTCCCCACTCCCTGAGGGTTTCGGGGGCTTGGAGACGCCAGGAGGCGCTAGAATCTAGGGTTTAGGGTTTAGGGTTTAGGGTTTAGGGTTTAGGGTTTTGGGTTTTGCCGCTGCTGCAGGTAGCGTTCTAGGATGGTTTTTTCGCGTTTTTCCGGGTCTTTAGTTTCCGCTTCTTTTCTCCCTTCGAACAATTCAATGAAGCATTTAATTAAACTTCTTTCAAAAGGTTTATTTAATCTTTTTATTTTCCAATTTAATCTTTTTATTTTCCACTTTTTAGCTGCTGCAGTCCTTCTGGGGGCCCCCCCAGCAGCAGCAGAGCTCTCCCCTGATGCAGCAGCTTACAGGGGCCCCCAGGGGCCCCTGGAGGTGGCGCTGAACCCTGTGGGGGCGCAGGTACTTTTAAAAGAATAAAAAATAAAATAAATAAATAAATAAATAAATAAATAAATAAATAAATAAATAAAAGGAATAATAAATAGTCCAAAATGATTTAATTAATTCAAATCTTTTTAGAAGAGAAAGAGGAAATTCAAACGGGCTTTTTATACGCCCTACAAGTGCATTAATGAGTCGGCGCGCCTGCTGCTGCTGCTGCTGCTGCTTCGTTTGCTGCTGCTGCTGCTGCTTCCTTTGCTGCTGCTGCTGCTGCTGCTTCGTTTGCTGCTGCTGCTGCTGCTGCTTCGTCTGCTGCTGCTGCTGCTGCTGCTTCGTTTGCTGCTGCTGCTGCTGCTGCTTCGTTTGCTATTGCTGCTGCTGCCGCACTAGATGCTGCGTTCGTTGCTGCTCCCTTGCTGCTGCCGCTGCTGCTGCGCCCCTTAATACTGCAACAACTGCGCCCTCGTAACGGCTGCTGCGTCTGCTGCTGCTGCTGCTGCTGCTGCTGCTGCTGCTGCTGCTGCTGCTGCTGCTGCTTAGAGGTTTACCCACAAATGGGGCGCGAAGGGCCACCGGCTGACAGTTGGCTTTGACTCCCCTCGAGTGCTCCAGGGCGCTGCGTTTGAGGTGTCTGTACACCTCGACGCAGATATAGGTAAATCTTGCACTAGCAGCAGCAGCAGCAGCAGCAGCAGCAGCAGCAGCAGGCGGCTGCTGCTGCTGGAACTGCTGCTGCTGCTGCTGCTGCTGTCAGAGACGTTAGAGGAGGCGTGGGTTGAAACCACTCGTGTTGCTGGCGCTAGAAATACTTCAGCTGCAGTGGCAGCAGCAGCTGCTGCTGCCGCTGCTGCAGGTGGTGCTGCTACCGCTGCTGCTGCTGCTGCTGCTGCTGCTGCTGCTGCTCATTTGTCTGCAGCAGCAGGTCCCGTGTCTGTCACGCCTCGCTTCGTAACGGGAACAAACGCATGGAGAGAAGAGACGGAGACAGGAGAATTATATTCTTATTTAGCTGCTGCTGATGCTGATGCTGCTGCTGCTGCTGCTTACCGCAGCCCCCGCAGACTCACAGCAGCAGAAACTGCTGCTCTCTTCGAGCCGTCCCCGCCGCTGCTGCCGCAGAGGCGACGCAAAGCAGCAGCAGAAGCAGAAAATGATGAAAACTGGAATATCGACCAGCAGCAGCAGCAGCAGCAGCAGCAGCAGCAGCAGCAGCAGCAGCAGCAGAGGAGCACCGCCAGTGAAGGGGAGACGGAAGAGGACCCCGCAGCCGTCGAAGCAGCAGCAGCAGCAGCAGGCGAGAGCACAACAGTAACAGCAGCAGCAGCAGCAGCAGCAGCAGCAGCAGCAGCACGGAGCTCGGAAAGAAGAGCAGCAAACGAAGGAGCAGCAGCAAAAAGGCGGCTTGTTGTTTGTCCCGATGAGTTTTCTGAATCTGATGAGCAGCTGAGAAACTCCATTTTAAAAGAAGCTGGATTTACAGAAGAGATGAGCTGCGACATCTACGGCGACAGCAGCCGCGCAGCAGCAGCAGCAGCGAGAGAGGACACGGCGGGGGGAACCCAAGCGAATGGCCCCACCGCTGCAAGCGCAGCAGCAGCAGCAGCAGCAGCAGCAGCAGCAGCACACCCACCACCCCCCGCAGCAGCAGCAGCAGCAGCAGCAGCAGCAGCAGCAGCAGGAAAGAAAGTTTGGAAGCAAATAATGAAACTTCCTCCAGAATATCTTCCCCCGAATTCCCCAGAGTGCCAGGGCGACAGCAGCTGCAGCAAAGCTTACTGCGCGTTTGTGGACTGCAGCAGCAGTGAGTTTTTTGGGTTTTTTTGTTCATTTTTTTTCCTTTTTTCTCCTTTTTAATTTCTTTTTTAATTTCTTTTTTAATTCTTCTTTAATTCCCTTTAATTCCCTTTTTAATTTCCTCTTTTTCTCCTTTTTTTCTGCTTTTTTTTGATCCTTTTTTCTCTTTTTTGTTTTCCCTTTTTGCTGCTTTCCCCTTTGGCCTTTTCGGCGCTGCTGTGCGCTGCAGC